GCAGATCCCCAGCTGCCTCATCTGCAGCTGCCAGGCTGTTGGCACAAATCTGGCAGATCTATTTCCATACAAACTAAATCTCACCACCATCCACAGACTTCAGATGGTGTGTTTCCTTCTGGAGGAGGAACCCATGTAGCCCCTCTATCAGGGTAACAGGCCAACAGATAACGGTCACGCAGTAGTGAACGCTTTGGATACTGCCGCCTTTGGATACTGTGTGAAACAATGTCCTTGTCTCCTGGCTGGCCTTAAAAGTTCTGCAGACTCCTTGCAAGCTGACAAACTCAACTTCTTCTCACAGCTGGCAGCAACTTGTGCTTCTAAAGCAGAAGGCCCAAAGCAGTGTAACAAAGCCTTGTAATGCAGTTTCAGCTGCTAGCCAGGAGCATGCAGCAATAAATTAATGACTAATTTAAGTGATGGAAAACCTCATACACAACTTGCACTGTGCTTGTCTTTACAGGGCAAAACCATACTGGACTCTTCACATGCCCTGCCTCCAGGCTGCACCTGATGGTTGCCCAGTTATGCCAGCGGTGACCTACCTGCGATTGGACTGTCTTGGCGAGGGGGCTCCTTTCTCCAGAGGGGGACAAAAACCTTAATGTATGTGTGCCCTCTTTCTCGAAACCAATCCACTGCCAGCTGGATCCCCCAGCAGGAGAATACCTCCTTGTTTCCATGGCTAAAAAAAAAAAAAAAAAAAAGAAAGAGGAGGATGGTGAGGCAAAGCTTTCAAGAAGCTTAGAGTTCTCTTCAACTGAGCCAATAATGAAAAGGCAAAACAAACAGCTTTTGTGTCATTCATTCCAGGAAAACAACCTGGCAGGGTGTCCTGGTTAGACAGATCCAACACCTCCTCCAGTGGAACCAGAAACTTATTATCTGAAGCAGTTTGAATAGTAAAAAACAGAGGTGCCCTATCCCCCATTTCTACGACCTGTGTGCTACCTAAGCCTGTTGCTTCCATCGGTATCTGGATGGACTTGGGTCCTAAAGTACCAGCAAGACCTTAGGCTGTGTCAGAGCCTTCACGTGCCTCATCTGGCAATGGTTTGAGGAGTCAGAGGGTCTTCCAGAACAAGCAGAAACCCACAAGACTCTTCTATGAGAAATGAAATGTGGGAATTGTCTTCTGCGGTAACAGTGACAACAGGGATTTTAATGTCTGAAGCAGCTGCAAGTGTGATCACAGGTCATTCAGCTGCTGATCTCTTTTGGAAACAGGAGTTATGAGGGAAGGAAAACTGTGAGGGGCAGGATGGGAATTAGAGAGAACCTGTCCCAGGACACCAAAAAAGGGACAAGACCTCAGTGGAGATGGCCACAGGCACCTCAGGCCCATCTTTATCTTGTCCTAGTTAGTGGATTTTGTCTTCATTGCACAGAGAGGTGGGAAAGCCCTGCGACAGGGGCTGTAGAGGATGCTTCATTCTTGCTGCCTGTCATTCTCTTATCTAAAATCTGACTACAGTGTGGTACACGTGTAACGGAAGGTAACTTGTTAACTATCTCTGCACAAGAAAATTAAAATAAACTCTACACAAAGTCCTAAAATGGATAAATGCCCTCACATTATCTACAGAAATCTCATCCTTGTACTTCGAGCTTTCTGGATAATATCACCACAGTCTCACTCAGGCTTTCATCTCTGAAAAAGTGCTTGTAAATGACTCTCAGTTATTACACCTACCTGCAGCAACGGACCAGTTGAGGACGATGCTACAGTCTCAAATGCCTCTCTCCCCACCATCCCCCAGGTATTCAAGTCTAGGTTCTGCCTACATCAGCCTCATAATCAAAGCTCCTTCTTACACCTAACACAAGTTTCAGTGCTGGAATGGTGGCCACAAATGAAAAATGGTGTGGTTTGGAGGAAGAAACCTGGTCGCTTATTAATAGCTACCCAGGCAGTAGGAAGTCTTTAAAAAAAAAAACAACAACAAAACCCAAACCTACCAATAATAAAGAAGTGGTCTCCATTCTAGAGTAGAGCAACTGTTTTGTTTGGTTTTAAATGACAGGATCTACCCAGCATAGGTATAAAGTCACTCGGACTGGTGCATTGAAAGTGCAGGTGGCTTTTTCAGATAACTGTCTTTCAAAGGAAGTCTAGGTACATCTTTAAAGCCATGACTCAAACAAAGTTCAACAACAGCCTGCTTTAACATTGACTACTCAGATACATAACCTTGTCAGCTTTAGGAAAGTAATCTAGATGCATCCCCAGTGCAGACAGTAAAGCAATCAAGCACAAGTGGTTCAGCCAAAATGACAAGATCAAGCAAGAAGAGGCACCTGGAACTGTTTCCCAGCATTATCACTTAATCCAGTTGCTGCTGCATTGCTGCAGCCAAACCTGGGACCGGCTATCTGACATAACACGTACAGGCATGATGCACTGCTGTGTCGACATACTGTGTCTGCTGTGCAATGCAGCACTGGCTTTAAAACTTTATATTCTCCTGCATGGTGAATCTGTGTTGCCTGACAACAGACTTTCCCACACACCCCTGTAGCCCGTGGACCATAACGGATCTGTTGTAACTCAGTCCCATCTCTCTCCATCCTGCCAGCAGCAGGGTATGTTGCACTTGGGTCGCAGATCGGCAGGACCCATCTCTCAGAAACCAAAGCAGCAATTTTGCATGGGTCTGACCCCAGCAATTAATCCATAATTAGTATGAAGTGGATCCTTCTTAAATTGTGCAGTTCCAACCCCTTTGAAAAGAAGTTTATTCAAAACATCTCCTCCTGAAAACTGCCAATGGCCCCGTCACCTCGTCATGACACAGCATCAGCCACAGCTTTGGCAAAAGGGAGATAGCCTAATGCAGGACTCCACCGAGCAAAAGGCTTCTGGAAAACCCATTTAGGTGGGCATGTGGTCTAGGAAAGCAGTATGACATGCTAACTCAAGCCATTTGCTGCACATGTCTGTAATTACATTTGTTTTAAATAATCTCTCTCTATCAAGTTCCCATACGTGGGCTGGCACAGTAGGACAATCTTGGAGCTTTCCCGGAGTACTCCGAGCTCAAAACACGCACTATGTCATTAGCCACCAACCCACTCTGGCCTCCTGCTCAGTGGCCAGGGTGTGTCTTCTGCCATCTTGGAAACAACGCTGTTCTCTGCCTCGTCCACCTCTGCCTGCTCTAAAAAAGCCCTGGTAAATCAGTGAGGAGAAAGCTGTGCCAGGAGAACATAGCACGTGGCCAGCCAGCGGTAGCACTGCCCTGAACACAATGAGAGGGTCGGTGCTCAGCTCCGCTGCTCTGCCTGGATGGGTGCTCATTTCTTCTGCAGAGAGGCAGGAAGGACACCCTAAGGAGCGTCAAGGGTGAAAATGCAAATGGGGGCAGGTGATCCTAACACCTGGCTAACGAGTGCATGGCCCAGCCAAGGCTAAGCGATTTTGCTCTGTTGTGTATTTCTCAATCCTGGGGAGCTGCCCTGACAGAGGAACCCCTTGTTTTTGGATGGGATTTCTCCCTTCACCCAGAAGATGGCATAATTTGCTTAGTCCCCAGTTGCTCTGGATGTACTCCTCTCCTTCACCCTCTAACCAGAGGGGATATGGTCTCATCTCACCGCACACCACCGCCAACCCAAGGAGGAAGCCCTCCTCTGCCCTGTCCCAACCCACAAGGACAGGCTTGGCCATGTTGAGCGGGAAGGGAAGTTTAACAGGGAAAACCAGTGGCTACCCACTGCATCCAGGACTCTCGACTGCCTCTGGCCATTTGTTCCTATTGCTCAGGTAAACAGAGGCCAACCCACGACTGTCTTTGGACTTCCCATCCCTGTGGATGTGCCAGGCTCCCCGTCAGTAAGAGTGCTTTCACAGTGGCAGGACACTGCTTAGGAAATGTAAGTGGCCAGGATGGGTTGCTGTGACATTTGCCAGAAACAGAATTTATTAAGGACAAAATGAGACTATTCAGTGCAAGTTAACTAGCAATTCCCTGATATTTCCATAAAAATGAAGCCAAACCAAAAACCAACAAAAATATACAAGCCAGGAACACTGTTGGGGTTTACTTGCAGGTCAAAACAGCACAGCTGATGTTGTTAGGAACCACAGCCACCTGTCTTTATTTTCCTCTCCTTCTTAGGTTAGTTGGACTGTTCTGTCTATCTGGTCATCAGTTTTTCCTGGAAACATCTCAGCATATAGGTGTAGAACTCCTAGGTACCCATTTGAAAAGGCACACAAACCTTGATGGTGAACTGAAAGGGAGCGAGAGCTGCTGAATCATGCTGCCATAAACAGCAGTGGTTAGCTCGCTGGTGGCTTATGAAAGGTCAAAATGCAGAGCGAGCCAGTGATTGCATTTGGTGTGCGTGTTTATGGGCATAGAGACAGCAGGTCCCTAGGAGCTGTGCCTCAGCCAAAGAACAGGAATAGGCAGTGGTTCATACATTACACAACAAATGCACAAATGCACCTCTCGCCTGAAGAAAAAAACATATTCCAAGCCATCAGCTTTAAAACTCAAAAGCTTCAGAAGAAGAGAGATCTCTTTTAGGAAACAGAGCTTACCTCATTGCGACATTGCTGCCGTCGATCACAATGGGTCTCAAACAATCGGAAGAATCACTGTCATCATCTCCAAGCCACTTCAACCCTGGTGAAGCACTACATGAGCCACGGGCAACAAGTTTTAGCGAGGAAGGCTGAGGCTGGCTCTCCAGAGCTTGAGGTTTGCTGCCCATCCGAATCAGCTCTTTCAGCACATCATCCTCCAGGGCCTCTTGGCCCAGGTTCTCCAGTACTTTGCATATGTCCTGCTTACCGTAGCCCAGCTTGCAGAAAAAATCCAGCTTGCTCTGGTGCGCTTCCACCCCTGCTGTAGACACTTTCCTGGAGCGTGGTGGCAATGGCTTGCTCGAAAGTGAACTGGCCAGTGCCATCTTAGCAGGCATTTATGTTCCTTTAAACCCAGTGCTCCCGTCTTCCCAGCCTCATCCAACAGGCATCAGCTTTAGGTGGGGGGAAGATTAGAAACAACAAAATTCAAGCGTTAAGGAAGAACGTGCGATCTCAGTTATTTGCCTAGTGCACAGCAAACAGGCTGTCTGATCAGCTGGCTTCTCTCTGGAGAGACTGGCCACTCTCCTGTCAGCAGTAGAGCATTTTTCTGGTCCACTCTTATTTATAAAAGCACTGGAGTGTCCCGTGCAACGTTTGTCCCTCTCCAGGTGTTATGTCAGACAGGTGTCATCCTACTTCATGGGCTGTGCAAGCCTGTCTGCACAGAGACACTATGTATGCGTAAGTTTGTTCTTCAGACTTACCTCACAGGAAATGATACAAAGGACGGTGCAATGGGGGATTTTCAATTTGCTCAGTGTGGTTTGTAAACCACAGATACAAATCTGTCAAATGTTGTTGGCTGAGCTCAGATGCCATAGCAACTTAACAAGTATAGAAATTTCATCAAGTGATTTTAAGGAAACGTGTTGCTTGCAAAGTAGCTGGGAACTCTGAATGGTTTTTTTAAAGTTTTGTTTTTCCTAGACTGTGTCCGTCTGTGTATACACGGACATACTTCATGAAATTCTGTCACTCATCTGTTCCAATGATGCCTGACTGACTCTTTTCCTGTTATTCGCTATCTCAGAGAGGACTTCTATATTCAGAGAAGCAGCTTGTTTTCTGAAAGTGATCAGGGCAGTGGTTGGAACGAGGTGATCTGAAAAGCGGTTTCAATTTCACTTACATTTGTTGTCAAGAGAAACTGCTAATTCAGAAATGAGCATGCAGCAGCAGCAGAAAGCTACTTCAAGCTTCTCCAGCACTGCACTATTTACATTTCTGGTCTACCCAGTGAATGAAGGTGATGGGCAGCACACAGAGGGTATACCCAGAGCTGCTTCAGCCCAAAAAGCGTGACGACAGAAGGACGTATGTGGTGACCACTCATCCATCAAGCCAAACATCTTCAGTCACTGTTGGCACGTTTGCACTGATGCTTTTGCCACATCTCTGCAATTATTGGTGCCACCCAGATAAAAGCTGTGGCTGGTTTACCTACCCATGTGTAGGATGTAAAGGTGGCCCTCTTCCCTTCGCTAACTGCAGTCAGCAAATGACACAGAATTAACTGACCCAGCTACTGCCTCTGCGACAAGCCCAGAGCCATAACCCCAGTGCACCCACCGGCTCCCCTTCCCAGCCCGCCCTGCACGCTGCTGGCTCGCTGGCCACTCCCTGCCCGGCACTGAGCTGCCCCAGGAGCTCGGAAGCCAAAACCATTGGAGGAAGGCACAGAGGGACAGGAGACAGGGAGATGGGAGCGGAGCCTGGGTGCAGCTCCTCCCCGAGGCACTAAGGGCTCCTCCGGCTGTGGGGAAGAAATCTGCATTGGGTTCAGTTAATTTAAAACTGATTAGTTCATCAGGAAAACCTGATAATTAGTTATAACTCCACCTCATACAACTTTGACCTTTACTTTTCTGTGTAGCCTTATAACTTCCAGGTACTTTCTGTGGACGAAATCTGTCACTCTGTTAAAAGTGACAAATAGCATCAGTAAAACAAAAAATACCTTAACTATGTCATATACTTAAGGGGAAAGCAGTTACCTTGTGTATTTTTCCATTAAAACAAAGTGTTGCTTATTTTAGCCAGTGGGATTGACTGTTTTTCCTCACAGTGTGACCCACAAGTGTAACAGTTCTTACATCTAATCCTTGTTTTTAATTCATGGACTGAAGGTGAAAAGGTATTTGCCTGCTTTTTCATTACCAAAATACTTTCTCAGCTTTGAGATAGCTGATCTCTGAACTGAAATCTATTAATGTGTCTTTGTACCTGAATACAGCTGAAGCTGTCACAGCTGGGCTAGTGCCATAGCAAGCCCTGTTTCTACGTGTGTGGTCAATGGCTCCAAACACTTAATAAGTCCTTTTTTTTTTTTTTTTTTTGATGTCTAGATTATTTTGATAAATTATTGTAGATGAAAAACTTTAGTTGCTACCTGTCTTCAGGTTGAAAAGAAAATATTTAATACATATTTTAATAGCCATCACTATTATTTTTTAAACCTGTACTTCTATCTATTCTGATGCTTTTTCTTTTCTCTTTCTTTTCTTTTCTTTTCTTTTCTTTTCTTTTCTTTTCTTTTTTTAATTTTGGTAACATCAGAGTAATTTCCCCTGTTAGCATCACATTCTGTTGTGTCTGTGTTTGTCCTGGATTTCGTCAGAAAGTGGGTTCGATTCAACCCTTATGAATTTTACCAGCCAGCTTTCCCGCTGCAGAGGGCGCAGAGGCCACATCCATCTCGCGGCGTGCACCTCGTCACCCCCGCAGCAGCAGCACATGCAGGGCAAAGGCTGCTCACCACATCACTTCTCCAGCCCCATCCCAGGAAGCCCTGAGCCCGTGCTCCATGTCTGCACGCTCTGCATCCTGGCACGCAGAGGCAGCGTTTGCCAGGCTTGGCCTTTCCATGCACCTTTGGCGTGGTGAGTGGGGGCAAGGCGTGGGAAACACCCAGCTCTGGACGGCTGCCTGGGGCTCATACGATGCAGGATCAGCAGTCACCAGCAACATGCTGGTTCTGTACAGTCAACCACTGGATTTCTGCTGAAGTTTGTCCAAATAGTAAAAAAAATGAGTAATATTGTGACTGCAGGGTTTTCACCACAGAGAGAACAAGTTTGAAACCCTGAGATAAAAGCCTTGGTGACAGCCAACACTGAGGTCACCCTTCTAAGGAGATAATTAAAGGATAATAAAATCACTCGCTTACACATTGGTAAACAGTCAGTAGCATGCCCAAGTCCAACAGTTCAGTTGGTTGCTGACAAAAGCAGTGCAAAAACATATGACAAGAGGAGAAATTGTTCATCACAGAGTCCAGCTTTTGCTATCACAGAAAAACAGGTTGTGAAATCCCATTTATAAATTTTATGACCTTCATTTTCAAACTACTTAGATTTCTTTGTGCCATTTCCCCCCGCTCACGTCAGCAAACCCTGTTGGGAAGCTGCTCTTGTTTTCCCTCCACTGAGAGACAAAGTATTCTCATTTCCCAGCTAAATTTATCCACAGGCAATCGTGTGCCCATCCTATGTTCTAACTTGAAAAGCATCCCTCTCTGTCTGCAGTGTTGTGCCCCCGCTTATGTACACAGACAAACACACACACAGAATGGCTTTAGTCATGTTTCCAAAATTCTATTTTAATCTTAACATTTTAGCTATTAAAAAAATTACTTTTGACCAAAAAATTGAGGGACCTGTCAAGGTCTTCTGGGCTTTTTATATTTTGACAGGGTTGGAATATTAGAAAATATTAATCTGAAGTTTATGTAGAAACTTTCCAAAAATTAGTGGTTATAGTCTAATTCCTCATCTTGAATGACTTTAAAGACTATTTCTTGCCTAGTCCTTCCACGAGGTGTTTTCCCCCCTTGTGAAGAGGACCGGCCGCCCCGCAGGTTCGTGTTTAAGCATCACCTCCAGCAGCCTCAGGCCACACAACCACAACAAGGACCAGCTTCACTCCAAGGGAGCTGGGGCTCCTCAACGCCCCCACCAAAGCCCTGTCCTGCCCATGCAGGGGCAGAGGGGACACGGCCCCGGCCAGAGCTGGCACTGGTCGAGGCAGAACAGGTTTGAGTCTCCCCCAAACCAGGCGTGTGTGCCGAGCAACACCGGGAGCGCAGCAACAGCTCCCTGCCACGACAGGGTTCCCCTCACACCTTAGGTGTGGGCTGCCTCTTCTTCCTCCTCTGTCTCTGAGAATCACGCTGCAAACCCCTCAGCCTGCCAGCCCACTCGAGCCCTTCCTTGAGCTCTTTCTCTGAAAGAAGACGGGCTGCTCTGCCTTCAGAAAAACAAGAATTTTTACTTTCACAAATTAGAGATGCACACAAACTCTTAATAACAAGACCAGTTATGTGTTGTCTTGATGACTAAGAAATGATTTGCCTTTTTCTTCCCTACCTTCCCTGCGGCGTTTGCCAAAACCAGCAAAAGCAAACACCCCGGCGTGCGAGCCACGCTCCCAGGTAGGCCCCCCTTGCTCTGCACCTTACCTGGCAGCGGTGATTCCTGCCTCCCAGCGATGCCGTCCGACCATTCGCCAGACAGAAACTGGATTCAGAGCAGCACTGGGCTCACAAGGAAGTCATCAGCCCATATTTAGAAGCTTTATGGCAAGGCTGATGTCAACTAAGAGCAAACAAGTGCAGTGAGCAGGTTAGAGCTCATGCCATAGGAAGGTTTTACTTCCTCATTTGTCTGTCTGAGCTCTCATTTAACTCTACAGGTTGATAAACTTTCACTTCATTTTTCAAATGGAAAAAAAAAAAAAAAGGTTCCCAACACATCTGTGTTCTGAGTCACAGGCAAAGATTAGTCAAACCTACTCTGATAACACTGGACAGTAAGAAAATGGCATATGAATTCTGGGGAAAGTGAAAAGTTTTCCAGCAGGGATGCTTTACCATCGTATTTCAGCCTCATTCCCCTTGTGTCTGGCAAATTTCTGACCTTCAGGGACACATGGAAAAAAAAATTTTAAAAATCATTCCTCATAAAGCCTCATTCAAACACCTCCGCATCTGAGGAAACCTGCACTGGAAGACTACAGTAAAAGAGCAAAAACCAAACCAAACCCCCCAACCTCCTGGTGCCTCGATGGAAAGACTGCTTCAGAGACACGCAGCCTGGCCACAGCAAAGACCAACAGGCACTTTGCAACAGAAACTCAAGTTTTCCCTCTGCTTTTTCCTTACCTTGCTGCAAACAAACATGCCCCAAACCCACTTTTAAGCAGCAGGAAGGCTGGAGACTCAAGGAGAGGTTAACCTGCAGGATGCTTTGGATGCTGTAGAGAGCTCTGCAGGGCAGTGCCCCCGCCCACAGGGCCAGGGAGGGTGGGGGTACCCCACTGTGGAAGGACATCACCT